CTGAAAAGCTGCTATTTCGTTAACTACCTAATTAATCAGCGGTCGGTATTACTTATTACATTACTCGGTAGATTTCGGTTACTGCGGCTACGTTTACACGAAGGATAAGTATTACGGAAACTGAGTCTGTCAATATTTCCTACTAATATTTTAGGGACGCGAAACAATACTCGGAGATATTTTTCACTGAAGATGGTAAAATGAAGAAGGGACGAACCTTTGTTTGTAAGTGTCTCTTTAAAAAGCAAGTTTTAGGGTTGAATGTTGAATGGCCGCCCTTCGTACTTCTGTCTATTTGTCTGACATATTATGTATGAAATACAATGCTACCGTAACAATTATTATTTAAATATCAATCTTTATAGTTAACATATGTATATAGTTTAACTCAAGTTCGTATCTCAAGTTATTTATTTGATGAGAGTCATCACAAATATGCTCCTGAGCGCTGAGTAGATTTTGATGCGCTTTTGAAATTTAAAATCCTCATAAATCTGCGCAAATTGTTTTATAAAGACCGTTGGTCGTCATTATTATTTATTAAACATTTTTATTAGGTAATAAACAGAAAGTAAAATTCAATACGAAGTGCAGCGACAGCCTTTTCGGTTCCTACAATATATTTGCGTGAGGATTTAAATAAACACAATTAGTGAATGTTTTAACATACCCACCATTTTAGCTTTTACTTGACGTTTATCAATTAAAGCTATATCACGTCATCCATTTTTAATAGTTTATTCCTCTGATGCTTCTCTTTGAAAAAAGGTCCGACGGTCCTACAGATACAGATTCGGTATCAAAGAATTAAGGTTGCTAAAAATGCATTATGCCAATTTTTTTACTTTTAAATAGCTAATTATAGTCTCGCAGCCAATAACATCATTTTTGTTTGTCTTTAAATAAACGTAATTCATTATTACAACAAGAAACATTTTACATAAGTGCAATTATTTTTTTATCAACAACACCTGGATAATTGGCGCTCCACTATTGTGGGCTTTCGAGACACTTTTTGCCTCGCACAAACAATCTGTGGAACAAGTTATCGTCTGCGGTATTTTCGGACCGATAAGACCTTTAAACCTTAACCATGACTACGCCCGTGTCTTGGACTATTTGTACTTAGCAATAATAATAACTTTATAATAATAACTTTACACATCTCACACACTCACCCGGCAATCTGATCCCAAACTAGGCAGAACCTGTACTATGGTAACCAGACTGCTAAAAAACATACTTATATATTTCTAAATACATACATACATATCACAGATAAATTACACCCAGACACAGAACAAATGATCGTGCTCATCACACAATTATTTGTCATGGGTGGGAATCGAACCCTCGACCTCCGGCTTAGCAGTCAGGGTCACTAACCACTAGACCAACAGGCCAGTCAACTTTAAAGAACTGTATGTGCACTAGATATATCTACATTTTCAGACTTGAATAAAAATTAAGTAACGGGACTAAGAACGTCTGATGTGTTCATCTACTAGAATATAATTACATCAAAGTGTATAAAGTAAAACGATGACGACGCAGCGCCGAAAGTAAGACAGCCTGCTCGTCTGCTTTTAATTAAATGAATCACTAACACAAGTCCGAGATCACAATGGACAAATCCAATTCCCTAAGTAATTACTTATCTGTGAGCGCACGCGAAGATAATGGTAAACGTACACCACGTCAGTGTGCACGTTAATATACTCGTATTAATGAGTAATTATCACTGTAATATATCTGTTTGGAACTAGTATATTTAACCAGACCATCACTAATAACAGGCAGATTAGGAAAATAATTATCTTCTTAGGAAAAATAATCTAGACATTACATTAGGTAGGTGTGTACCTGATTATTAATATTTTACTATACTTTCTAGATATCAGTTTTGACTAGTAGATTAATAGATATATATTGTAAAATTTTGGTTTTCCTATAGTAATCTCTGTCCGTTTGGTGACGGATTAAGAATACAGAGTGTCAATACCCCTATTCATCCTGTGGGTGTCGTAAGAGACTACTAAGGGAGCAAATTACGCAGGACAACAGCACTGCAAAGAGAAGGAAAACTTGAAACAAACCCTATACCTACCCGTCTGGGCAACTTGGTATGGTAGGCCAAAATCTCCTTTCTAAGGCTTATGTCCAGCAGTGGACTGTTAAAGGCTGTTGATGATTGATGATGATGATAGTAGTCTCATAGTAGCCTGAAATATAAAGTACAAGCTTCGTACCCAACTTCGACAGCGTCTCACAAAAGGAATAAATTTTCCAGTTTTTACTAATAGTCGGTAGTACTAAAAAATACTAATAGTCGGCTTCTATTGGACGTAGCGTGATGGTATACAGCCTTTAGCCTTCATCACTATAAATTTTCTTCAATTTGAACTAGTAGTTCCTTAGTATAGCTGTGTTTGATCGATATTCAACTAAGTACATATATACCCCAGCAATGTAACAATATGTAAAATAATTTCTAATATTACATTGTTTAATTCATTTCTAAAATAAAACTTTTTATGACTTGTACACACCTAAAACATTGTCAAGTAACAATTGTCGTAAAAACACATTTAAATTTGTAATTGTTGCTGTTGTTATGAACTAAAAACATAATACATAAATGGTTTTATTCAAAAGGCTATGATATCAACGCCATGCAGCCTACAGATAAACCGCGATACACGGAAACCTGTTATCGGGCTATATTTACTACATATTGGTGATTCGATGCACACATTGCACACTGCAACAGAACTAGGCTAACATTTTTAAATTAGTTAATATATTTGAAATAAAGTCAAGTAAAAGAAAATGATCGATAAAGACACAGAACGTGACAAAATAAAATAAAAATCACAAAGAAAAATTAATTTGATATAATCAGAGGAACTTCAAATTTATTTTTAGTTAAATAGGTAATTTAACGGGCAAAGGAAACATCATTATTCCTACTGCAATAACCAATAACATGTTGTTTATGGTGCGTTTTAAAATGATTTTGATTTAATGGACTACTAGATCAAAGAATGACATTTAATAATAGCTGTCGTTTGAAACCCGTTCTAATAGTTTAGCAATAAACTATGTTGTGATTCACAGCTGGTATGTGGATATACGACGGTGAAGTCATCACAGCGCCTTATGAAAGGGTCCTTGAGTGCGGGTGGCATTGTTATCTTTATGATATTGTAATAAAAATTGCGTTATTGATAGGGTTTTTATATTTCTAATTGTAAATATCATTCACGGGTACGTAATATCATCATTCATTTTCCAAAATATAGTTTTTTTGTCATAAACTAATACGTATTCTAAAGTTGAGGTATGTGAACGGTTAAGCGTCTTATCAGAATATCTAGTTTTTGTTAGATAGCTGTGGATTCTTCATTATGTTCCCTTTCTCATTCAAGTTTTATTTGATTCCACCTCGGGAATGTTATCTTTTCCAAATGGAACAAAAAAAGAAGGTAAATTGGGATAAAGAAGACGGATAGAGCGAAACAGCTATGGTAAGTTATGTCACATGTATCGATGGGAAATCGTAAGAAGCAGTAGAAGCTTGTAGAAAGCGAAATCTTGTACCCGTATGCCGGTTCTGTAATTAGAGACGAGAGGGACAAAAGAATAAAAACCTTTGGCTTCTAACCATAATCAATGAATACAGAGAAAATTTCAGTTACAGCCAAAAGGACACCCACCTACTTTACTAATCTAAATACGTACACGCCCCGAGCAATTTGCGGACTAATAAAAGTCAGAGACAAAGCGTCTTAAAAACAGTTGCTACTGTGAAATGAGCTCGCCCACTTCTGATTTAATTTAACTTAAATTGGCGCCCACCAATTGAAAGAAATAAAAGTTAGTTGAAAGTTTTAAAAGCTTTCCGCTATTGGCACTCGAAAATTTTCAACTAAATACGGTAATAATAAATGTTTGTATTCCATTTCTTAGGGCAACGTAATTTACTATTTAGGGGTTCAGCCGCTCTCTGTATTTACTTTCGCAGGCTAAACTCGCACGAGTGTACAGATGGTAGGTTGTTCTATAAAGAACTTTTACAATGACCAAAAAGTTCCGAGAAAATAGAATTGTTTAGCAGAAAACGGTTTAAAGCTGTGTCGTTTTAAAAGTGATGGCTGGCAATAAGGCTAGGACGTTGACACTATACCAATTGTACAAATTATTGTGTGGTTTGAAATATGCTAAATAATAAGGAATATATTGACAATGTAGTAGATAGTTTATTACCCTCTTCATATATCTACACAGAAATTTCAATCATTTACAAAATAATTTATTTAATTTGCTGGTCATACTAGACAAAAATGTTGAGGTACAGAAGACCATTTACAGCGAATGTTGATAGGTATTAAATAATAATCTTCGATAATCTTTTTTTCTATCTTCTTTAAATAGAAAAAATCTCGAGAAATACTATCATTCTCTCATAAATAATGTCATTTATAGAAGAAAGAAATCTAATTGACTTAAACTGACGAAAATTATTTGAAAATATAAAAAAAGGTTAAATCCTTTTTCATACCCAGTTTCAATACTTGTTATTTCAAGAATATAAAAGTACATTAAAATGTTTTCAATATATGCTATTTATTGAAAACCCGTTCCTGACGTCAGCAGACGAAATCTCAATTGTCATTGTGATCAAACCACAACTCTAATTAATATTATATGATGATTCCTAACGTCAAACAATGTGATATGACAAAATATAATAATTATTTTACTTCTGTTAATAAGGGGCAGGAATGTTTATTACGAGACGTGCGTTCCTACAATCAAAATCATAATAATAGTAAGATTAATTAATCGCAAAACTTATTCATTTTACAACAACAAAACTTCTGGATATTATGTAGGTACAATTAAGAATTTTCACATGAATTTCATTAAAAAACCCAACGGCTACGTGGGGCAAAGATATTGTGTGCAGCCTTTATCTAATCTGTTATCAGTTCAATATTATGATCGCTTTTATGACGCCTACAGGTGCTCCACTGTACAGTAATCTGACGAAAAATAATATCAGCCTAGACAGTTTGTGCGTATTATTAAAAAAACCGCTTATGGTGTTCCAAGGTTCAAGACACAGGCAGAATAAGCAAATTTCGTTGTAAGTATGTAATGCTAACAGATTAAATGGTCAAGGTTGCACTGACGTAAGCGAAATAACGTCAATCACGAACTACCTACATACCTACAAAGCCAAAAAAGGCTTTAGTTACACTAAATTACGATCGGAACGCACCGCGCTACAGAAACATCAACAAAGTCAATGCAGCGTCGTGCGGCGATATGTTTTGATTGTTTTGTTATGCACTCCTCAGTCCGTGGGTGTCGTCAGCGTGCGACGTGTGTACAGTTTACACAACAGAGGCTGCACGCGAGAGCCGTCTGCCGTCGCTCACTTGGGTAAGTTGCAGAGTTGCTTTTATAAATACGCCACCGGCACTCGAGCGTAGTCGCCCCTCCCCGGGTCCCCGCAGAGCACCGCTGCTCGCGTGCCGATCATCGCCATTATCTGCGGGACCTTGGGCCGCACCGCGCGATAAAACCACTCACCTTTTTGATTTGGAAATGATCAGGGCGCAGAGTCTCCTGGATCTCCTGCTCGGTTCCGCGCGGCGCCGCCTGCACGGAGCTGCGGAACCCGTCGAGCACCCCCTTAAACGTGAACTTCTTCATCGCGAATAAACTAGTAGCGGGTCCTTTGTCCGAAGGCCGCTCGCGCCGGCCGCGGCTACATCACAGCCGTCCGCCGCGGACAGCGAGCCGGTTTTGGCGGAAGGAAGGTCGGTCGCTCCCGCGCTACACGTCGTCGCTACTGCGCAGGCCACCCGGGACCGCCGCCGACGCCGCCACGCGCCCGTCACGCTGACGATCGACGAAAACTAGGCGAGGCACCGCCTCCGGAATGTACAGCAATGCGGCTCCTCTGACGGATCGATAGCTGGGACAGCGGTTACACACGCGCACTGGCGACACGCTGTCAACGAGGCCGCCTCGGACTGGCTGGAAAGAGTGCGACGCGACCGATCGATGCGCCCGGCCCCGTTCGGAAAAGAGATGAACACATATTGCGCATGAAGGCGCGTCTTGCGGAAGAAAAATTTCACAGCTGATAACTAAACAGTTCCGTGTGCCACCGCAGGGTGGCGCGCTAAATGATAACATCGCGTGACATTTCACATCAAATGTCAATATTGTCAAACCCGGTGCCATTGTCCTGTCCCGTCAAAATACGCACTAAAGTGAAATTCAGATTTAATAAGATCAAATTTAAAAAACATGTCTTTTAAAATAATAGTGAGAAATTTAAAGACAATGAGTTATGTGGGGAGCTACAAGAAAATTAGAGACAGACCATTTAGGTAAGTTTACTTTTGAAGTGGTTTTACTATAAACAATGATGATATTTTCATAAACATGTGTAAAGAGGTTGGCTTAAAGAGGTTCAATATCTGCAGTAAATTATAAAATAGTATAATATCACTGGAAATATCACACTGTAAATACCTGGAATTCGCCTTACAAGTAGTGTAGTAGAAAGTTAAAGTTAAATATTGGCGAAATTGTGGTTACACTCTACCATAAAGCCATTAACCAAAAGTTGAAGTTGAAAGAGATATTGTTTACAAGTTTTACTCTCAATAGTCATTGGATTTGTTACCTATTTTCGATATCTATCTACGGTTTTAATAAACGTTCTAAATACACACTTATTTTTCTTGGAAATATTAATATAGGAGTATGTAAACAGACTATAAATTTGTCGATTTGTTCAAACCACTGCAATATTGCAGGGTATATTGTGCCACAGCAATAGCTACAGGCTACATGGCATACAGCCATTTTAAAAATAATAAAGTACAGATGAAAGAGGTAATACAGGCAAAAGATTATATGGCAGCACCCATCACACCATTACATGAACTGGAGAAAAACCAGAATGATATGAAGGCACAGATGGAACTGCTCATAATGAGAATACAGGCAGAGTTCTGTAGAGCTCTGGAAAAAGAAGAGGATGAGGTAAGAGGCCAATTATTTTTCAACATAGGTCACAAACAAGTATTTGACATATGCTGTCAAATATTTTTTTAGTGAACATTGCAGGATCTTCCGGTATTTTTTTTCTAATAAGACTCTTATTTGCATAACTGGGATCTTTTATAATTCTTTTAGAAAGTTAATTTGGTTTGTTTTAACAAATTCATTTTAAGTTTAAATATGATCACAAAAAAATAAATGATAGTTCTATTTGGTATAGGAAGTGCTAATAATGCCTTACTATGTGTTACGTACATGTAGATTAATTTTATAGAAAATTAAATTTCTATTTACAGAATTCTGATGTGTTTTCCAAGCCTGTATATATATATTTTTTTTTCAACTGACATATACAATATTCTCTTGTAGGCCTGGGACGATGACAAAACACCACATGAATATGATTTTGAAAATGACGCTTTCATAATTTCTCCGGTACGGCACAAACCATATCTTTTGTCTATTTTTTTAATTCCATACCTTAATATAATCAGTGTCATAAAATAATTCATGATTATGTTAATTTGTATAAAGTTCTCATTAAATTATAAAACTAGTTGTAAAAATAATATTCATGTTTATTTGTTATTAATCCACCATAGCCTTGGTATAATTGATATTCTATATTATTTACCATACCATAGTTACTATGACTTACAAAAGTTTCCTAATTTATGTATGCATGAAATATGTTAAAAGAATTAAAAATTGTTTAGTAACAGTAGCCTAGTTTTTTAATACAGAAGACCACATCTGCAACTTAGAATTTAAGGATATATGATGGCTTCACGCAAGGTATCGGTCACCATGCGCACTCTCATCCTCTGCCCCATCTTCTGCTGTTGATCTAGAGTGCAGCCTAAGATGGACCAAAAAAACTATTTTTAAATCATTTCTGACACTGCTATAGTGATGCCACTCTTCCAGGATGCGAAGTTCAAGGTAGACCGTTGGACGCGTCCAACAGGAGGCGGTGGAATCACGTGCGTACTGCAAGATGGACGGGTTTTTGAGAAGGCTGGAGTCAACATTTCCGTAGTGTCTGGAACCTTGCCACCAGCAGCGGTCCAACAAATGAGAAGCAGGTAGGTTTGTGTCATTCAAAGCTTAGTGTTTTTAGGTGTGTAACTCGGAAATCATTCTTCAACACTTTACTGGAGAATCGTACAGAAAATAAAAATGAAATCGTTATTTTTGTATCTAATAGCCCATTTCTTGAGGATGGTAATAAGCTATTTACGCTACGGCGATTAGAAGCGAGCGAGAAGGTGGAACTGCGAGGAGTGACCATGTTATGTTTTTATACCGTGTTAACAAAAAATATAGGTATTTGCTATTGAAATGTAGGTAACATACTCGTACATATTTTAAATCCCTGATGGTCAGTGACAAGATGATGAGAATTGAACGCTCATTCGTAACTGGCAAACTAGGAAGACGTTGCTGATGGTAGCAAGTCTTCCTAGTTTGCCATCATCATTTGTAACTTGTTCTCAGTGCCAAATATAATTCGTAACATTGTGAACACATCTCCTTGTGAAAAAATATTAACAGTATGTCAACCTATGTATTTCCATTCCACCTCCGGAACCTGTACAAAACTACAAGTCCTGAAACGAGGCATAATTTGCTTTGTTAATCTATACAATGCATAAAATTACTTACCTTTAAGACTATAATGCTTTTTATGTTGCAACTCCTTTCTTTTTGGCAATTGCGCTCCTAAGGGGGTAAAATAAGGGACGAATGGTTGTGTGGCAGTTCGTCATTTTCAGAGATAGAAACACGAAATAGGAAATAGCCCAGGGCAATAGCTAGTATTAGCTAGTAATTATCGTGTAATTATAATTATGGTATTCCATAACTGCGGAGTAGTAAAGTTTTGTATCGCATCACAAAAAAAACACATAAAAACCAAGTCTTCCAACCCGCAACTCCAGTTCTACAGCAAATGGTTGTCAGACCTATTTCTAACTTTATTTGTTATTCATGTGTGGTTTCTTAGGTTTGCATAATATATCATTCAATAAAACGTATGATTGATAAGTTTATTAGTGTGAGCTGTAAATATTTCGAATTGCGTTCGATCCCCACATGGGACGACACTTTGTGTGTTCCACAAATTGTTCTTCTGAGTCTGGGTGTTCTTTGTGTCCGTTTCATGTATGTTTGTAAAGTCCCCCGGGATACAGGATATATTCCTAATGCGGGAGTTGTCTTTTTTAAAAGAAAGAAAAAGAACTCCTGTACACCAGGATCAGTGACCCACGAACACATCGAGTAGGTAATGACACTCGGGAAGTTTGAAGAAAAGTTAAGCAGTATTGGAACCGCGCCTAAATTAGTATCAGAATTAAATTGTAGGAGTTGGAAATATTATAAATGTACAGAAAAAGAAACGAACATGTTAAAATTATCGGTCAGTTACAAATTTAAATATAAGTTTTATGTGCTACCTTTTTCTAAATGTGACATCTAAACTTTTTTAATCGCCATGAAAAAAAGGAATAGCTGCTGCTGAATTCAGTAGTATTTGTTGCCTCAGAACTCCTTCATTAATATACTGATTTGGAAAAATTGATTTTTATTTAGCAGAATTATATACTTCCCGTTTAGACCCTTTCAAATTTGAAAAAAAAATACCACCGTTGGTGGTTTTTTTCAAGTTTGTGTGAGAATAAATTTGAATGAGACGAAAGTTAAGAAATGAAGAATGCTGCGATTCACCATGACGTTGACGCATTGAAGTAGGTAAAGTTAAAAAAAAAAATCTTTAAAAAGTACGGTTTTTCTGTTCCGTACTGTACTCCGTTCGTACTGTTCTTGTATTGGAAAGAACTTCCTTTATTGTGATTTATTTAATTATGATCAATCATCGCACGGATTAAGAATACGGAGTGTCACCATTATTCATCCCGTAGGTGTTGTAAGAGCCAACTAAAGGAGCAAACCTCGCAGGACAACAGCACTGCAAAGAAAAGGAAAACTCGAAACAAACCCTTTTTTTAACCGACTTCAAAAAAAGGAGGAGGTTCTCAATTTGACTGTATTTTCTTTTTTTTTTTTTTTACGTGTGGAAATCCCTCGGACCGTCACGGCGTTTGCGGCGGGGTGGTGTGTCGGACTCGTACCGACTAAAACCACACGGTGTGCCACTCTGCACCTGTAATAAGAGGGATCCGGGAACAGCTGTTATTAAGACATCCGGACCCCTCCTAGCGCCGGCCCGCTCCTGTTGCGGGCTCCGTCTCACAATTTTTTCCTCTCTTTAGGCGACGTCAGGCACACGCGGACGCCGCCCCCTCGCGGCTGGCCAAACTAATGCGGGTGGAGGGGAAACCCACCCCGTCCACCCGCGGCCACATTCAGGGCGGCATGAGGCGGTGATAAGCGCGCCTCTGCCGCCCGGTTCGCCGGCGGCGGATCGGGCCCGAGTGGAGGTCGTCCTCCCGGGCCTTCTCCGCCGCCTCCTTCTGCGAGATTACTTCCTCGCAGAAGGTTGCGACCGCGGTAAAACAACTGTCGCTACCGGCCATGGAGCGTACTACGGCCGGTAGCGAGAGATCCACTCCGATGACTGCAGTGAGGGCCCGGCGCTGCGTCGCCCATGCGGGGCAGACCGCCAGCGTGTGCTGGGCCGAGTCCTCACTGCAGTCGCAGTGGTGGCAGGCGGGACTCAGTTCCCTCCTAGCGACCGAGTGCAGGTACTTTCCGAAGCAACCGTGCCCGGAAAGCACCTGCGTCAGCCGGAAGGTAAGGGTCCCGTGCTGCCGCCCTGCCCACTCGGCGATGACCGGCTGGAGAGCCTCCAAGGCTGCGAAGCCAGCGCGTGGAGTCTCCAGCCGGAACGACCAACGAGCCATCGTGGTTCGGCGAGCGGCTTCGCGTCACTCGCGCACGTCTTCGGGCGGAGGGCGAAATCCGCTCTCCGCCCGGGAGTCAGCCACTCGCCGATAAACTTCGGCGAGCACTTCCGCCTCCAAATCCCACGGGGGGGGGAGTTCCGGCCAACGCGCAAGCCACCTCCGTCGAAACGGTGCGGTAACCGCGTATGGCTCTGACCGCCAATACTCTCTGAAACTCGAAACAAACCCTATACCAACCCGTAAACCGTCTGGCCAGCGTGGTATAGTAGGCCAAAACCTGCTTTCTGAGGAGAGGCCTATGTCCAGCCAGTTGACTACTAAAGGCTGTTGATGATGAGAAATCGTAATTAACGGTAATTGCATTGATGATGAAATTAATGTCATCATCATTCATCAACATGTTTAGCTTTGTCCCAATTTCATTTGGGGTCGTGTAAAATTGCAAAGGATTTTTTTTATTGGTTTTTTTTATAAGCTTTTATATAACTAGGGGCCCATCTAATGGTTTTTAAACGTGACAAAAGAGGAAGGACTCGGACCGGACTGGATTCGGAAAGCCGTAAGGGAGCCAAGATGCTAAATACTTAAAAAATGCCATTAAAAGGTTTGGAAAGAACCTACTCCTCTAGTTTTTTAAACTCTTGCCAACCGATCCAACCTTATTTAAACAATTCATAAGATTGGTAGTGAAGAATTTCCCCAATGAGAGAGTGTGTGTTTCTGTTGATAACTTGCCTCAAAGTTTGAAGAACTGTATAAAATATTGATGTTTAAACTACCACACATACAGTAATAAATGTTTCTATATCTGTATTTCTGGTAAATAAAGATTATTATTATTATTTCATGCAACAGAGAAAAAAAAAGATTTTTCCTTGAAACAATATTTATAGCAAGACTATTAAATGATAAATGACATTTATTTCTGTAAGTAAATCTTTTCAGATATTTTTACAAGTCGGACTTTATATTATTAATTATATAATATGCAGTTTACTGGTTAATTGACAAATTTTTAATACCTAAGTATTTTTAAATAATAATAATAAGTTTATTTTGGAACAAACCCAGACTTGTTAGTATAAATATTTTGACTTAAAAACTGTTGTTAGTAAGGTCATCATCATCATCATTAACAGCCTATAACAGTCCACTGCTGGACATAGACCTCTCCTCAGAAAGGAGGTTTTGGCCTATTATACCACGCTGGCCAGACGATTTGGTATAGGGTTTGTTTCAAGTTTTCCTTCTTTTTGCAGTGCTGTTGTCCTGTGCAGTTTGCTCCCTTAGTCGACTCTTACGACACCCACGGGATGAATAGGGGTGGTGAAATTCCGTATTCTGAATCCATCACCACACGGATAAGGTACACAATGTAATTTAATTACAGTATTTTTTACTGTTTGGAGCTCCATCCACCTTTTAAAAGGGGAGGAATCCTGGTGGTTTAATAACGCCAAAACACACTCTCTCGACTGTGACTCTAGACGACAGAACCAGCAACACGGACCGAATAAAACAGGTGGTCTATTATTGTTTTTTAATTTGTATCCATGTTATTGTTTTGTTTATCTGTAGAGGCAAGAATCTACAAAATGCCGAGCTACCGTTCTTCGCGGCCGGTGTCAGCGCGGTCATCCACCCTCGCAACCCCATGGTACCCACTATACATTTCAACTACAGGTACTTCGAGGTTAAAGACAAAGATGGTGAGTGTTGCCAATAACATAGACAAGCTTTCATTTTCACATTTTCAACACATTATTTTACAGGGTGTACCAAAACAAATCAAACGTTTTTTTACGTAACATTTTAGGCATTTACGGAAAAAAAATCCCAAGCTATAAAACAGGTATTAGATATATGATAGCTATAACTTTTTGAATTTGTGAAAACTTTTACCAACATTCAACTAAAAACTATTTAAATATTTCTCCTATTTCCTTTGTTATTTCCATTCACAATACTTATCGTGTAGGTAGTTGGCGCGATTACTCTTTATGCCTAGCTCCAAGTCTTAATTTCCATAAACGCTTGTATTACATTTATACGCTTGCGAGTGTGTTATTGTGTTCCGGACAGGCAAACATAGCAGACGTTGACATATTTTTAGTCAAATTATAAACCTCGGCACTAAACTAAAAAAAAATCTCTAGCCCTACTGCTCAATCAGTAGAACATTGAGACTTAATGTTGATTCCTGACTGATTAACTACAATGTTTGTAATACGAAATTGAGCAGTAGGAAACAAGCACGCACCAACGTGTAAATTATATATCTGTAAATATATGTGTATGTGACTGAACTCCCCCTTAACGGCAAGACCGATTTTGATTTTTTTTGTGTATTCAAGTGGATTCGAGAATGGTTTAGATTCACAATTCGGTCAACTAGATACAATTCTTTTTTTAGTTTAAGACGTGTGTACAGGTCAACGTCTGTCGGGACAGCTAGTATTTATGTATAATTAGTTAAATGGCAACACTATTAACTGTGGTAAAAAGTTTATAAATTCCAGGTGTGCAATGGTGGTTCGGTGGTGGTACTGATTTGACTCCATACTATTTGAATGAAGAAGATGCTCAGCTATTCCATACGACGCTGAAGAATGCCTGCGACAAACACGACGAAACCTATTATGTAAGGTAAGCTTTCAGCCCAGTTAGTCAATCACCACGGACTACACCACGGAGCAAATACAAAGAAGAGGTGTTATAATGAGATTTTCCTCTGAAACAACTCTTGATAATAGGCTAGTTGACTCGTAACCTGCTCTGTTGTATGAAAACGTCAACAACAAAAATGATGTTTTGCGTGGCGTGACGTAACACTTTCTGATTGGTGTTCGCTGTCACGTGACTTCCCGCCTATTTTTTTTTTATATTAATAATCTTTAACTTTTATGAGAAATAGACTGGTTTTTTTCATATCTATGTCTCTTCATTTATAATTTGAAACTATAAACCAAGCAATTTGTTATTAGTGGACACAAGCCTATTTGCGGGAGGGTGGGTGTTAAGCTCCGTCCACTTCTTCTTGGATAGATTTTTACGAAATGCTAAACATATTCAAATTTTATTGTGTTTTTTTGCAATAAGAATGTCACTTGTCACAATTTTCATAAAAATCAACCTAAGTACAATTGCCTTTATTTTCATATTAGATAGAAGTACTTAATTGGATTAACGTTGGATTCCAATTTCAGCCCTGTCTTTTTGTTCAGTTTATGTATGTTTTCTAGTTGACGATAGATGACAGTCTGTTTACAAAATGATTCCTAAAAATTAAATATATTATTTTCTCGATTAAAAATTCTATAGGACTGAATGCTAAACAAAATTTCAGTATTATCTGACTAAAACTGAGCTTACACAAACTATACTTCAAAAAACACTAAGAGATCTTGCCAAAACTATTTTAATAAATTAAGTATAAAATTACTTACAAATAAAATGCGATGCCATCCATAGCAACAAAACGTCTATCCGAATTATTTTAATACGATAAAATACAAAATTTCATCCTTTTCTTCCTAACGATTTTGCGACACAAGCGCACAGTACTTACGGTGAGTCTACTAATTCTAAGCCACGCCCACTGTGATGACATCAGGACCTACTTAGAATCACAGTGCACAGTTGCTTATTTGCTCCGTGGACTACTCATTTATCTTCCACTAATCTATTTCAATAATTTCAAGAGAATTCAAAACTACTAAAGCTACTTCTTTTTGTTTTGGCAACACTTTCTCTGATTTCTATTTTAGAACTGATTATTTTTCCAGATTCAAAAAATGGTGTGATGATTACTTTCACATTCCTCATCGTGGCGAATGCCGAGGCATCGGCGGCATCTTCTTTGATGACTTGGACTCGCCTGACCAAAAATCTGCTTTTGACTTTGTCACCTCATGCGCCGAGGCCGTCATACCTAGCTATATACCTATTGGTACGTATTCATTTATCATGTAAAAATATAGTTATTATAACATTTAAAATACTTTACTGTACATATTAACAGTTTACCGCAGGTACAGTACCACAAATCATCCACACTATCCATATCCATACTAAAATACTAATAATATTATAAATGCAAAAGGGTATCTGTCTGTCTATCTGTCTGTTGCCTCCTCACGCTCAAACCATTGAACTGATTTAGATGAAATTTAGGATAGAGATTTGAGTCCTGGAAAGGGACAGGATTTAGATGAAATTCGGTATAGTTTGATACTTAGTCATCGGCTACTTTTTACCGCGATAACCGACATACATGAGGGTGGAGCCGCTTTGTATAAGGGCAAACAAACAGTACCTGGATACCAGGTACTGTTTGTTTGCAGTTCTGTACCAGGATCACCTGGTGCACCTCCGCCACCCCTCCCCCCCCCTACTCACTCAGTGAAAATTACTTAACACCGGTTTCTTATGGGGTCGTGGTATTGCTCCGATCGAGCCCGGCTCATTTGTGCTGAAGCATGGTCCCAGTAATCTAATATTAATTCCTATAATTTAATCCATTCACGACCTGCTATGACAGGCACTACGCTAATCCTACAGGAGTGCATAGATTAAATTTTATATAAAAAACTAATGAGCCATACGTGCGTCCCAAATGATATGTAACATCATACCTACCACCTGAACCAACGGGCCAACTGTTTCGACCGTGGTCGAAAATCGAATTGCGCGCCCTCATTGGTCGAAAAACAAAATGCCCACGCTCATCGGTCGAAAATTGAATTGCGCGCTTCTCCAGCTTTTATTCACATCCGTTCCCAAAAATTGAGAAAAAAGCGAAAAAAATTAAAAAAACGTTTCCCTTCTTTCAGTACAAAAACACAAAGATGCTGCGTACGGATACTACGAGCGACAATGGCAACTGCTACGTCGCGGAAGATACGTGGAATTCAACCTCATGTACGATAGAGGGACCAAGTTTGGGCTTCACACTCCGCAAGCTAGATACGAGTCTATCCTTATGTCATTACCTCTTAATGCCGTGAGTACCATGATCTGTAGAAATATGTTGCATCGCCTTTTTATTGCAAGAATTGTGGGGCCCGTTGGTCTAGTGTTTAGTGATCCTGACTGCTTAGTCATGAAAATGTGAAAATGTTTATTTGACTCAAGTACATAATATAATACATTTTTATTTAAGTAGTTTGTACATGGCATACAGAGGTGTCTTATATACCTAAATTTACAAGGAAAAGGCAGTACAACATATATACAATAGGTCATAGGACTATTTTTCCTAAACTAGTCAGGAAACCTGTCTGTATCTTAGGAAAGAGTATCGATTTATAATGTTTTATATCTGTTACAAAAAATTGGTACATGAAGTGGGCGAATAAAGTACTTATGTTATTAAAGAATAAAAATAAAATAAAAAGTATGTGTCTGTGTATGGGTGTGTGTTGTATGTGTAGGAAATTCAGGAATAATGCTAATCCGTTAATTGCTCCACATGTCTGTTGAATGGTCCACTTGTAGACTTGAAAAGCCAAAATCAGTAGGGTTTTTCTTTATCCCTGTGCTACTGTGTGTACTGATTTAAAAGCACCAAATAAGTAGAAGATTGCTGATAATCCTACAAGAATTCACTTTATTAAAAGTCATCCATTACATAAAGACAGATTACTGATAACCGAAACCTCACACGGTCTCAACCCCCCACCCTATTTCTAAGGGGGGCAATCAAAAGCCGGCAACTAGCTTTTGCCTCTTGAGTTCAAGATGTCCATGGACGCCAGTGGTCACTTACCATCAGGTGAACGGTCTGACCGTTTTCCTCATAAACAAAAATTCAGGCTTGAAAGAGTAACATATATAGAGCATAAACCGCCCCGGCTCCTTTCTGGGGGAGGACTTACCATCAGGTGACAAGTCGGGTCTTTCGCTCTCATATGCCAAAAAAAAGTGAGAGGTAATACTTAAATTATTTTTGTTTCAACAGAAATGGGAATACATGAACGAGCCCAAGAAAGATTCTCCTGAAGAACAGCTCATGACCGTCCTGAAGCAGCCCCGAGACTGGGTGAAACGAGGGGAAACTAGTAAATCACAAGCACAGCGGTCCGCGGTTTAAGGCTGCTACAAAAATTGATGGTTATGGGTTTTTTACAATGTGAAAATCATGTGCTGTACAGAAGTATTTTTTTAGATTATAAATTATAGTTTTTTAAATGTTTAATTTGTGGTTTTCTTTAACATTAGCATGTTTCTATTGAAAGGTGCTTTCAAGCAATGTCAGGACAATATAGCATTCCCACATATAACGCACATATGTATTTAACAAAAGAAACCAACAACCTGATTTATGAATTAGAAATAAATAAATAAAATAAATATGGATATAAGTATCCCAGATAAGTGGTAACTGCCAATGAATAGCTTCACATCATGATTAGCAGAGAGCCGTGGGTTTCTCCATACAACGGGAATATATTTTGACTTCTTCAAGAATCGCAAGTCAAATTTTCAAGCCTCGTCTTTAAATCAAATTCTTGAACCAGTATGCTCAGAAATGTTTTGTTCACTTTTTGTCGATTGGGTGTTTTTATAGGTAACTCTCAAATTATGGGTACACAAATACGTCCACTAAGAGAACTACGTCGTCTTTTTTCATTTGCTCGAATAGAAAAAATCCTATTTGCTTCTGTCCTTGCATACTCCATTCCATATGTTTCCTTTCTTAGCATAAATGTTCGCCAGTATTACATTAGTACTACTACACCATATATCATCATCACATCAACAGCCTTTAATAGTCCACTGCTGGACATAAGCCTCTTCTTAGAAAGGTGGTTTTGGCCTACTATACCACGCTAGCCACGGTTTACGGGTTGGTATAGGGTTTGTGTCAAGTTTTCCTTCTCTCTGCAGTGCTGTTGTTTTTGTCGGCTCTTACAACACCTACGGGATGAATAGGGTTGGTGACACTTTGTATTCTTAATCCGTCGCCACACGGACTATTTAAACTCAGGAAGTAAAAGTAGAAGCTAAACTTAACTGAGTCAGAATTTCGTAATATTAGTGAAATAGATAAAACATTTCTTAGCTAGTCGTGAAATAACTCCTTTCAAGTGGGAGCTTTTGCAAGGAGATTATTATTTATAGCACACTAAAAGCATAAGATCAGCTTTGTCCTGCCAAGGTCGCACGAGTCTTTATAGTTAAACCGCCGTAAGCTTGGCCCTCCTGATGGTTTGAGGGACGCGGGGCGGGGGTGCATTCAACCAATTAGCTAGTGCGTCGCTGTCCGCCGGCAGTGACTGACGTGAAAGCATGGCTGTACGTGTTATTTTTCTTAAGACTGCTACACACGGTATTATTTTGCAACATGGATAATCTGCCGACTCTGCGTCACATAAAGATTTAAAAACTTGAAGTTCGGCTTACAGAGGTTCTACTGTTAAAGTTCTAATAAAGAATATTTATTATTTTACTTAATTTTCAAATTGTATCTGAATATAATTTATATGATGAAGATAAGGTGATTTTATTAAAATTATTTTACAGTATTAAATTTTACAATTAATCATAAAAACTTACAATACACTGACATTATAATACATGGAAATAAATTAGAGTTTTATTACATCGTGTGTAGATTAAATCTCAAACAAATAAATCTGAAGATATCGAGTTAGTACATCGTGTCATGTATAGCCGAGCGCATCACCCGCCCCGCGTCCCGCAAACCATCAGGAGGGCCAAGCTTACGGCGGTTTAACTATAGTGGTACAGTGTATTTATATTGTTTTATAAGTGACATTATTTCCAAATTAGAATAGTATTTTCTGCAAGTGAGGTGTAGCAACACCAAACTGTAAATGTCATTATAGTTGTCATTAACTCGATGGCTTCAATGTTGTTAACGTGAAATTCTATTCACGATACATATATGTTTACTAGACAAGTTTTATTGCCTTTTATCGATACAGATACGTCATCGCTACCGTAACAAAAATTAGTTCAAGGGACTGTTATTACGTCGCGAATTCCATGTGAATTATCAATAAATATGTGGTGCGCGTAACGGATGCTTCGTTTCCTACATTCCTTCGCCATAAACGTAACGTAACGTTTGTTTCCTATGTGATGTTGTTGCCAATCGGCGGCGGGTAGGTTAAGAAGATGCCTTTCAAGCTGAAGTTGAAGAAAACGCGGCAATACAATGTAGCGTCAAAGAGTTTGTTTGTGATAAGTGTTGAGCTGTTAGACGGTGGTGTTGCAGACTGTACACTGTCTGTAGACAGCACAGGACAAGAATGCCTCGATAATGTGTGTCAGAGACAAGCAATCAACCAGTCGGAGTTCTTCGGGCTTCGGTATATTAACCGAAGCCAACAGCCGCGATGGGTGCAACTGGAACGACCGCTGAAACGGCAACTGGAGAAGTACGCGTCATCACATCAGTTGTACCTTCGAGTGATGTACTATGTGATCTCTGGTACTAGTCTGATCACTGATGAAGTAACCAGATACCACTACTTCCTACAGCTAAAGAATGACTTGGTAGAGGGCAGGATTATTTGTGATTGTCAGCAGGCAGTTGTACTTGCATCTTACAGTAGGCAGGCAGAGTATGGGAATCATGACCGAGAACGGCACACAGTGGAATATTTGAAGAACCTGTTGACATTTCCAAAGCAAATGTTGGATGGTGGTCAAATCATTGATGGAAGTACTTTGGCTGAGACTGGCAGATTGGAATGGCTGACGGAGGCTGTGATTCAGCATCACATGGCTCTGCACAACATGTCCCAGGTAAGCTGTTAATACCAAGAAAGTTGATACCATCATAATCTTCTGTGGCATTTATTACGAACCAATGGCCTCTCTTATAGACTACCACAAAGAATATCATTACACATAATTTAAAAACGGAAACAAAATTGATATCTTTATTTATTAGGAATGTTTGATTGAATCATCAGTGATTGAATCATCAGTTTGCACTTACATTCATTACCAGACCACAAACATGTTTGAATCACACTTATAATTTCTAAAAAATATTAAGACTAATATAACACTATAAATATATATCTGAATGTAATACTGTTATTAACTTAAAACAAGTAAAAGTCATTCACAACATTGACATCTTAATTAGATTTGTTACACCTGCCATAATTCTTATTTCCTCAGATCTTCTAGTCTGTGGTTACAAAACTATGTTCACATATATATCTAGTGCTGCAAAGTTAGGTACAAATTAGTAAAATAGGTCTTATTAGTCAGAGAATTGGTATTCACAAACATAGGGGAACAGAAAACCTGAAACCAGAACAGAAAAAAGTGCAATGTTATAATTTATAACTAACAACGGTACATAGAAGTGTAAAAACATACAAATTTGATCAAAGGGTTTGAGGGTTGTAAATTAACAAACTGTGCCAGTAACTGTAACTTAATTCATAAATAAAACAATTGTAACAGTTCTCTTAAGAAATAGAACTCGATTTATTAAATTTCTTCTATAAGCGGTGAGCCCCACAGTGTTCCCTGGACTGGTCCATCCATTTGAAGGTAAAGAAGTAACTAACATACAAACACACACAGTCACATACTTTTGCCTTTATAATATTAGTGTGACTTTATCAACTGACTTTACCCTCGTTGTTAATAAAATTAAAAACAAAGTATATTTATAAGTAAAATATTTTGTGATAACTGAGCACTAACATTAACAACTAACCCTACCTAACTAACTAAAGGAATTTCAGTTTTCTCATAGGTATTTGCATTTTTATCAGACAAACCAACAAACAGAATTTCATTTTATTTATAAAGTTAGATAAGCCAATTACAATGATGCAAAAGTATACTAGATAACTGATGTACCTAGATAAAAGTCTACATGTGTTTTAAACTATTTGCTAATTGAAATAACACATTTTAAAAAGCTTACTTCATTTCCTTGAGTAAATCCAACTCTATATTCATTTGAGCTTATCCACAATTATGACTATGTCACTGCATCATATCATCAAAAGCCTATAACAGTCCTCTGCTAGACATAGGCCTCTCCTTAGAAAGGAGGTTTTGACCTACTATACCATGCTAGCCTTCTTCTTTCCTTCTCTTTGCAGTGCCGTTGTCCTGCGTAGTTTGCTCCCTTAGTCGGCTCTTACGACACCCACGGGATGAATAGGGGTGATGACATTCCGTATTCTTAATCCGTCACACACATTCATTTCCCAGATAATTATACTGTGGAGGAACGGGTGTCATGTCCCTCCAACACAAAGGGAGGATCCTCCGACCAGGCAAGGTGATCAAGCCTGGCGGGCCGAGGCTGCATCATATAGTTTTTTTAAAACTAATCTTAAGTATTTAACATACAGTAACCTGATGCATAATCCTATGACAATTGACACTGAAAGTGTGATGTTAGTTTTATAATGCGAGATTTAAATAAACATTTTTCTACTTGGGTTGTTGCGCAGGCAGGGGCGTCCTTTGGGGTTGCCCTGCTCGCCAAACCCAAAGGCCGCCCCTGCCTGCCAGTCTTTTGTTATCTACCTTTCTTCTCAACATACTCCCATTTACCATCTAATGCCTAATGTGCACAGTAACATTACTCCCTATTACATAAGGGGAACTAAAATTATAGGTAGCAAAATGTGAGTAACTATGGGAAATATATAGGTGGTGTAGTATAAAAAAAAAAAAACTTGCATTTAGTTAAACAGATGAGGTACACGGGGCTGGATGACACTCTGCCTACATATTTAGGTATTGTAGGTCAGTGTTGGCTGAACTATTACTGTACATCTCTAATTAGTGTCTCAAAGGAGCTGAGTTCCCAACCGATATAAAACAACTAGTGTCGTTCCGGTACTGAAGGGGGCGATAGAAGATAAAATCGAGGGTAAAACAGGCCTAAAGCGGTACTGACATCACCAGCAAAGGTTTTGGAGTCCGCTATATAAGAGTGTTTTCTCACAGTTTGTTTTTTTTACTTTATGTTATCTTTTATCAATGACTGCAGATCGGAGAAAATCAGCAGTAAAAGATTTACTGTAAATATCCTTACTTACATAATAAATCTAAAAGTGAGTTTGTTTGTTTCACTTAACGGTTAAACCACTAAACTTCTAAACTAAAAAAAAATTCTTTTACCAATGGAACATTTACATTAGCAGCGAGTAACATAGGTAACTCATTACTGCGAAAACCGACATACACCCGGGCGGAGCCGGGAAAAGCTAGTCATTAATATTACAACAATCGGTCACTATAGTCCATCAACGTCGTGCGCGACCGTCCTGCGGGGTGACAGACGGTGGCGGGGACGAGGTACTCAAGGTGGTGTAGCGGGGAAGGGAAACGCGTAGCCGCGTAAAGGGAAATGTGTAGGCGTGTGCTAGAATGACGCGCTACCTCGCCCCCGCCACTGTCTGTCACCCCGCGGGACGGTCGCGCACGAGATTGCTGGGTTTTAATACTATGTTCACGATGTTATTTATAAACGCGTTCAAAATATAACCGAGAGACCTGAACTAATTTGTGAAACACGTACAACTTATTGAAGTGTATGATTTAAGCAAAGGAAGTTTTAAAACTATTAATGCTCTGTTTATACGATCGTGGTAATTTTGTTCTAATAACTTATGAAACAAAAACCTTTTTGTGACGGGAATGGAAAATCCCATAGGGTCTCCTGTCGTCTTCCGTTTGACGCCATCGCGGCGATGCAGAAGCCAGGATAATGTGATGATTCATGTAAAAATCACCCGACGGCCGGCCTCAGACGCCCCACTCATTTTAGAAGCCGGACTATGTGATGTCTAGTTACATGTTGATTCGTAATTGTTAGATCTTGTAGATATCTTTAGATCAAGTTCTTTACTCCTAAACCGCTAAACCATTTTCAATCAATTTTAGTATAGCAATAGATAGAACCTAGGAGTGAAATATAAGCCACTTTTTCTCGCGGTGATCAAAATTGAAGGGTATAGATGATGAAAGTTTTATAGCACTAATTCTAGGCAAACAAAGTCGCAAGCGACAGCTAATTTTTTAACTATAAATTACCTAAAACAGTTACAGACAGAGACCTTAATTTACTATTTATTTATATAATAGGTATTTAAAGTGAAGAGAAGCGTGGGATTCCTGTGTGTTCTACTTTAGTTGCCGTGCCGCTGTTGTTTCAATCGCGTTAATGACCACTGCACCATTGCATAGAATATTATTCAAATTCGACTAGCAGTTTTAGAAATTAACGCCTATAACTATAAAGAAGTAGCTTTTTATTATATTACTAGTGTGGAGGAACGGATGTCATGTTCCTACACCACAAAGGGAGGATCCTCCTACCAGACGAGGTGATCATAATCATTACCCGTGCCTCCACACTAGGTTTTCCCTGCAGTTTCTTTCTCGTAATAGTAATATTTCTATATCTACAAAAATATTTTTCCTGATGAAAGATTCCTTAGGTATACCCTTTGCTGCATCCCTGACTAAAAAACATATAAAAAACGAACAAACAAACTATTCATAAATAACTTTAGAAGGTTTGTGATTTTAAAGAATCGTAAGTTAAGTGTTTAGATACATAAATAGATTAGTATAGATTTCTGTAATATATTTTTCTATGTGTATTAAACCGATTTGTTAGAGATACAGAACAATAAAGTGTACAAGATACGGTAACATTTGTATTAATCGGTCATCGACCCGTGACCTCTGATGTCGCAATCGAGGATGAATTATCTCATTACGTAGTTTCTTACGCAGACCTAGATATTCTCACAAGAGTTAGTAAAAAAAACAGCTTACCAAAATACGTACTACAGAGTGTGTATTACACAAAATCCCACAATTGTCCATCCCATTATCCCAAACAAACCAGATTAATGAGATGTAATAAAGCTTTGTAATCTGATGTGAATTGAGTTATGACCTCAAATGGGTTGTCGCTAAATAATTAACGAGTTTTGCCATCGAGAAATTAAATAGAAGATGATGTAATGAACTCCTCACTCGATAGACCACTAATTCTAATCGAATAATGGTAGGAGGGACTTTTTAGATATAATGGGTCCAGCGTCTGTGTTGGCGAGAATGGTTTGTTTCCTATTTTTTCTCACATGTGTTTGTAGGGAAAGCCCTACTAATTTCTGTCCTAGTGAGGGCCTGCGTCCCTGCCAACGACAGTGAATAAAGGCCACTGTCGGGTCCGAGAGCAGTCGAGCATACCCGTCAACCATACATGAATAAAACCGTATGTCTTTATTAACTAAGCGTATCGGTCATTCGGTCCTAAACTCCTGAAAGGCCTTGGTCGCCTGCTAAAACAAGCAAATCTTAACTTACCGAGATATCCAGTTCAAGTCGGCTGTGAGAATTGCATCAGAGAATGAGATAAGCCCTCTCCCCTGTAACCACGGGCACCCTTTTGCCTTCCCTTTCCCCATCAAAAAATGACAAAGTCATTTGACATCACACAACAAACGGGACTCACTGATGTAATTCATGTGACTAAATGGATGTGACAGGTGGAAACAAGACAGCCCTGATTCCGCCAGATAACTCTGGTGCACCCAACCTGCAAATTATTGTAGAATTTATACGTTCGAATAAACGTAACAACTTAGGTTTATTATTAGTGCAGATTAAAACAATAAAATTAGTAATATTATCATGTACCACAATGTTAGTGCGTTGTGTTGAATACATTATGTGTGTATAACTGTGTGTGCTAATACACTCAAGTGTTTAGCTCGTTGAGACGTCGTGGAATTTTATTTCTA